TATTCCATGTCTGCTTAGGAATTCTTTATTTGGACAACTCAGTTATACCAATGAAAAGCAGAAATGAAAGCAGAAATGTGAATTACGTTCAGGTGGACAGACTTGCTGTGTTTATGGTACTTATTATGAATGGGTGATCTTATGTCTTCAGTAAGTGATGTTTCATTTGGATTCTTAAATATTAACTTGAATTTGGTTCTGTTTTATTGTTTATCTTGGAAACTGGCCAGTGGGATGCAGGTATTTTACCACCAGGTCAAACATCCATTGCTGCTCTTATTTATTTATTTATTCAAAGATAAGGCTTCTGTTTTCTTCTTCTTGATGAATTTGAATAAAAATAATATTACTTCTAAGAGCATTAACAGTTCATCTTTGGTAGTTTGTAATTCATTGCAAAGTTAAACTTTTTAGTTGACTTATAAGTGGTGTAACATGTTTTTGTACAGATGTGTTGAAACTGCATGTGGGTATTTATAACTAACCAATTGACACACAGCATTAATAAAAAACACTTTTTTGAAGTGAATAGCTTAAAATACCAGTGTGGAACAAGTATAAAATCTTTCATTCTAACCAAGAATTAGAAAATAATTCCTTAACAGATTTTTTTTTTGGAGGTAGGGAGGTCAGCATGCAATAAATGTATGCTTAGCAGGCAGCAAATGATGGAAGTGGCAAGATTTTCGTGGGTAAAGAAATAGATTTGCACAGAATTCACCAGCATTGTCATCCTTTTATCCCTGTTTTAATGCTCTTTTCCTCTCTGACACCAGCAGACACCTGTGTTATGATGCTCGCAGTGTTCCTTCTGTCCAGTTCTTTATGCTGGGTTTTTTAAAACATGCAGATTCAACTAAATGAAAACATGATCTTTGAAAATTAATTATGTTCACTAGTCATAGCAAGCTTAGTAATTTACTGAAGTAGAAATGTAAAAAAGACCATAGCCCTTAAAATGGTTAAAATCTTTTCATTTTTTTAAAGATTTATTTCTTTATTATTAGAAAGTCAGATATACAGAGAGGAGGAGAGACAGAGAGGAAGATTTTCCATATGTTGATTTAGCCTCCAAGTGGTTGCAATGGCCAGAGCCGAACCAATCCTAAGCCGGAAACCAGGAACCTCTTTCGGGTCTCCCATGCGTTAAAGGGTCCCAAGGCTTTAGACTGTCTTCTGCTGATTTCCCAGCCCACAAGCAGGGAGCTGAATGGGAAGTGGGGCTGCCAGGATTAGAACTGGTGCCGATATGGGATCCTGGTGCGTGAAAGGTGAGGACCTGAGCCACTAAGCTAGGCTACCACCCTCATTTGTGTTTGTTTTGTTTTGTTTTAAAGCTTTTGTTTATTTAAAAAGCAGATAGAGTTGTTCATCACTGGTTTGTTCCCCAAATTACTACAGCAGCGAGTTGGCTTTGTTGAAGCCAGCAGCCAGGAAGGAGCTCAGTGCTGTTCTGCATGGTTGGATCCTCTGCCACTGCCTTATCAGGAATGTTATCTGGGAAGCTCAGCAGCAGAGTAGCTGGGACCTGAATCGGTACTCTGATATGGACAGCCAGTGTAGGAAGAAGCAGCTTAGCCTACTTCATCCAGTGCTGGCCTCCAGTGTCTTATTCAATAAAAAGATTAATAGTAGTCTAAGTGTTCACAGCTAAGAAATGAGTAGGTAAATTAGGATATGTTAGCTTCTGGTGGGCTAATTGTTGTTCTTCTATTAAATGGAAATCATGAAAAGACAAAAGAGAATGGGAAAAATACTGATGGGAAAAAGGAAGATTCTACTTGCAATTTGATTACCAATGTGTAAAAAGTTCCTAAGGATATGGACAAGGACAAGAGGGGGAAATCAGTCAAGATTTGGTTGGGACCGAAGTCACATTTTCCTATTGTAAAGCTTTTTAATGGCACAAATAAAAACCAGCTTTAAAAAACTTAATTGTAGGTGTGGGTGTTTGACGTCATGGTTACTAAGACACTGATTAAGACTTCTGTCCCAAGTCGGGTTCCCAGCTCCAGCTTTTGATTCCAGCTTTCTGTAAATGCACACCCCTGGTGACAGCAGTGGTGGCTCAAATAGCTAGACTCTGGCCATGCTTACAGGAGACCTGGCTACCAGCCTCAGCCATTGTGATTGTCTGGGCAGTAAACCAGAATCCTGACTCTGCCCCTGTCTTCGTTATTAATGAATTAATTTAGCATGGTTGCCCTATGATTTAGGCATTTAGGCAACATTAATTTTGGAGGAGCCCTTCAGCCATGGGGAGTGGGAGGACTCTGTGCCTTTCGTGCCCAGAGGTGGACAAAGTCCTACCTTATCATGTGCTAGCCAGATTTGAGGTGTATATCTCACACATTCCTGTTTGTGCTGGACACCATTTCCTTATCCCTGACACAAGGTGGCTGACTTCATAAAAACTGTGTCACCTCATTTCTGTATTTATTTAAGGTTAGCCTAATTCTCAAGATTTCACATCAGAAACCCTTCTCAGGTAGTTTGCAGACCACCCCTTCTTAGGTTGGTCCAAATGCATCTTACCTGTCAGCACAGGGCGGAGTTGTTTAGAACTCTGCTCTGTGACATCCTTACGTGTCAGTTCTGTGGACATCACTCGTAACCAGTGCCTTCTTGTTCCTGCTTCAACTGCCTCGGTCTCCTGTGGAGCTAGCTGCTGTCATCCTTTGCGTGGGCTGCTTTGTGAATGGGTCCTGGCATCAGCTCGAGCACTGTCCGTGGCAGTCCACCCATATGGCCCCAGTCCTTGTCAGGCCACTGCAGGGGCGTCCCATCTTTGTGTCTCCAGGCGTGTCCAGGCACCACCCTCTCGGAGGTGCAGAGATATGCCTGGGAAGCTGAGACTCCCATCACCGCACAGCAACAGGTAGTGTCCTAGTTGGAGTGTTTAGGGACCTTGCCATCAGGTGCCACCATGCTTTCCTCACCACAGACCTCTGTCAACTACCTTTCCCATGGAACCCTTCAAGTCTTGCCAGCCTGGCCTAGAATATTGCTCAAAGGATTCCTGCAGGCAGGAAAGCTTTCTGGATTGGTGACATTAAGAAAAAACGGGGGGAAAAAAAAGCAAATAGACACTTCCTCCATTGCTGTATACCCAACATCAAGGACATGGTATTTCAGAGTAGAGGAGGAATTTGTGCACCCACTTGGACTTCTGTGTTTTTGCCTTATTTGACAAGAGTATACATTGTTGGGGATATGGAGGTGGCATTTTAAAAAGCTTGCTTTGTAGCATTAGTAATTGTTAAAGCAGTGAAGAGCTTTATCTATGGCAGCACTTTGTTTCCATCCACACACAACTAAAATACAGTTTGTGTAGAGGAGTGAGTGAGCGCGGGCGCAGCCTGACATTAACCAGGGAGGAGGCGGACAATGAGTGCATTGGTGCTTGCTGCAGTTTCTGTTTTCTTTATATCCTTTATACTCAATTTGCAAACTCCCCCTCATCCAGTTCCTTTAAAAATGTGATACTCAGTGCATTTTCTTCCTATTCTTTTGCCAAGCCGTTATGGAAGCTGCTGCTTGCCTCAGAGCAAGAAAAGGCAGGAAACTGTGCTGGAGTTTTGGAGAGACTGGTTGCCCCTGCTTATTCATACTCATAACTAGTGGCTATCACCTGACAGAGTCAGGAAGCGGAGTTCGTGTTCTGAAGGTGATAACACAGACTCAGATGTCTTCTGATAATAGGTCACCTACAAATCCCTTCATTTTACCCAAGTACTTCTTCAGTTGTTCCAGCAAGAAAATATATGGAGCTTTTGTTTATGAAAACAAATGATCTTTTCCAATTGTTTTAGGGTATTCAGCTTATCCCACTTTATTAGATTTAACTTTTTGTCCACTCTTTTCCAGAAAGGAGTAGAAAGAATCTTTTCAAACTATCTGTAGAATAGCTTTGAAAGAAACAATAAAATGTAAGCCTGTTACTAGGTGTATAAAAAAAGAAAAAGGACAGTGATTGTGTCATGAAAACATTTGTCTTCTTAATTCATTGTATTATTTTGGAGGTAATTCTTTGAGTATCAAAACTCTTAAGTATGGTTGAGAAACAACAAATTAGTCAAGATTTGAGATTAATCTACTTAATATGCATGCTACTTGTTCCTATATTTGAACAATTTGTCCAAAACACAATCCATGAGTGTAGGATTTTGCTTGTTCCCATCTAAATGGGAATCAGTACTTTCTTTGTTTGTCACTATGGAAACGAGTCAGCCTATCCTGAATGGCTCTTAGATCATACAGAGCGATGCCCGTGTCTCCACATGCTTCCTCGCTCAGCAGCTGGAGCTGACTTCTCCCTGCCTGCGGCTCTTGTCTCCGTGGAGCCAGCGCCATGCAGGTGCAGGATGCGCCCCGGCGGCCCTCCGCCGTGCACTTCCTCAGTGCCTTTTTACAGGGTCGCCGCCACTCCACCTCGGACCCCGTTGTGCGACTGCAGCAGGCCCGGAGGGGCTCTGGCTCTGCTACGAAGCTGCTCTCCTCCTCCTCTCTGCAGGTGATGGTGGCTGTGTCTTCAGTCAGCCGTGCTGAAGGGAACCCAACTTTGCCGGAAAGAAAAAGTAAAGCTCTGTTTCTTCTTTTACCTTGTCACATCTGTATGTTTATAAGTCTAAGGGAATTGGACCGGGCTGTGGTAATTTTTTTTTAATTGACAGGTGATTCTCTTATACTTTTTACTCTGTTATACTGAGAATTTTATTGGATATGTAAAATGAGATAAAATGTAATCAAAACTCTCATCCTTTTCTACAAGATCTCTTTTACAGTTTTAATCTTCCTTGCTGCCAGTATAATATAGATTTTCTAATATTAATTGATAACACACGTAGGCAAAAAGGAACGTGTTTTTGATTAGATTCAATGAAGGGAACTTACTGCTGGTTCATCACCTGCAATCCTGAGATAAGATGGAAGCTGTTTCCCATGTTACCATTCTGTTTTGAGAGTGGAATCTGGAATCTTCCCTTCCTTGTATGTTCTAGGAAATTCAGGACGCCCAACACCAAAGTACACGAGAGTAGGAGAGCGTTTGCGGCATGTCATCCCTGGACATATGGCATGTTCCATGGCGTGCGGCGGCAGGGCTTGCAAGTATGAGAACCCATCCCGCTGGAGCGAGCAGGAGCAAGCCATCAAGGGGGTTTACTCATCCTGGTGAGTGAGTGGTGCTGTGGGGCACATGTGAGCTGGAGGGAGAGTGTGGAAAAAGCCAGACAGGTCTTGAAGACACGGGGCCGTCCTCCATCCTTGACATCGTCCCAGACCAGCCATGTGGTCCTGGACTTCTAAGCCCTGTTTTTCTTGTATGTAAAATGGACATAACCAAACCAAATTAAACCACTAAGTAAATGAAATTGTATGTGTAAGTATCTTAAATGTATAATTAAATAGCGCTAAAATTTTTGAAATTGTTTGAGTAATGAAGGCATTGTGATAAAAGTTAAAGAAAAGTGTGAGATATATTAGGAGTCTTTCAATGTCATTCAGGTATGCTTTAGTCTTACTTCTATATCATTCCTACGTTCTGTATCAAAGAGCATGTCTTTACACATGATGCTTCAGTTTGCCTTTGTACAAGTTGCCAGCTTTTGTTGGAAATGTTTATTAGTTGATCTGACTTGACACTTGTACTGTTTCATATTGGACTTGCTGGATACATCTGAAGTGGGATAGTCTTGGATCTACCATCATTGTTACTCTTCACAGGTCATGTTCTGGTCTTTACTGTTACACCAATGTTATAAAGAAGCAAATGTTATTCCTGAGACATAGTTAGGTAAATTTCTAATCATGTTTTTCAAGGTCACATTAATACATTTGCTTTATTGTTGACCAAACCATATGAGTCTTTTTTGTTGCTTTTACCTCAGCTGCTTTCGTATTATATCCCTCCTCATCTTAGCATAAGTACTGTTGTTCAGTTTTGGGGTCCCAAGCCCTTCAGGTCAGGCCATGTTGAATTTGATGAGAGGCAAGGCATCTTTTACAGTTTGCCATGCTAATCTGATGTCCCTGTTGTTCCCTCTGAGTCGTGTAACTCACAACTTCCCTAGACTACCGTATGTTTCTTTCTCCAGGTCACTGATGGAAAACCTGAACAAAATAGTGAGTTCCAGGAAAACTAATTTGCTGATTTTCTGGAAAGCAGGATCAGCAGTATTTGCAGCACTTTGCCTTACATTGTGTAAAATTCTCACATCCTCCTGGAAGGCAGCAGTATTCTCCCCATTTAATCCCTGCAGTAACTGAGACCCAGGAGTTGAGAAGTGTACCCAGTTGGCCTCTTCATTTGATCACTGCCAGCAGATGACTAATACAGGCTATTACCTTTGCCACCAGATGAGCTTTCTTTTCTTTTTTTTTATATTTGTTTATTTTTGTTGGAAAGGTAGTTTTACAGAAAGAGAAAGAGCTTCTGTCTGCTGATTCACTCCCCAAGTGCCCACAGTGACCAGAGCTGAACTGATCCAAAGCCAGGAGCCAGAAGCTTCTTCCAGGTTTCCCACGTGAGGGCAGGATGCCAAGACTCTGGGCCATCCTCAATTGCTTCCGCAGGCCACAAGCAGGGAGCTGGATTGCAAATAAAGCATCTAGGATATAAGCCAACACCCATATGGGATCCTAATGCTTGTGAGATGAGGGATTTAGGCACTAGATCATTGGACCAAGCTCTCTTTTCTTTTTAAAGGTTTATTTTTATTGATCTGAAAGACAGAGTTACACATGGAGGAAAGGCAGAGAAAGAAAGGCCTTCCATCTGCTGGTTCATTCCTCAAGTGGCTGGGCTGGGCCAAGACGAAGCCAGGAACCAAGAAGTTCACCCTGGTCTCCCAAGTGGGTGGCAGGGATCCAAGTGCTAGGGCCGTCTTCCACCGCTTTCCCAGGTTTGCCATCGTTGTTCCTATGGAGCGCCAGCATCTCAAGTGGCAGCTTGACACACTGCGCACAACAGCAGCCCCGCAATTGAGCCTCCTAAACCATGGTGTTTGCCAGGTTCCCTTGAGAGTTGGTAAATAGTTTAACATCCTGAACTCTTTTCCAGAGACAGAGGAAGCTGGGGGATGTTGTTACAGAATTGCTGAAATCCTAGAAAAATAATTTTTCAATGCCTATAGCTAGAGCAGCCTAGGTTCTGTGCATCTCACCAGACCCTCCCCCTACAGGGTCACTGACAGCATCCTAGCCATGGCCCGGCCGTCCTCTGAGCTCCTCGAGAAGTATCAGATCATCGAGCAGTTCCTCAGGTGAGTGCTTGTCCCCGCACACTGTAGGGGGAAAGTCGCATGCTGCCTCTTTCATTGCTTTTGCCTCCAAGTGGAAAAGTGCTTTCATTTTGACGCTACTTATTTCAACTAGGATGTTACGGTTTTGAGAATAATCAGTAACGGTTAGTAGTACCCAAAATGATTTATTTTTTAGCACCCAGGATAATTAATTGCTCTTTTTCTTTTAAGCCATGGCATAAAAACCATCATCAACTTGCAGCGCCCAGGAGAGCATGCGAGCTGCGGGAACTCTCTGGAGCAAGAAAGCGGCTTCACATACCTTCCAGAAGCCTTCATGGAGGCTGGCAGTAAGCTCCTTCCCATCTTCTCTGAGAATTACCGAGGAAGCACTCAGAGAACGTTGCCTGCCTAGCTCTCTAAGGTTTTAAACACTCACTAAAGATGAGCTACCTTTGCCTCTAAGTAATGCTACCATTATTTGGCATTTCTGTGTCAAATACAAGGTTCCTCTTTTCCTGGAAGACCGTTGTTGAAGAGATCCTAGGGTAGCAGTGGCCCACACTGAGCTGTTGCTTGCAGTTTACCGGGTGCTGTTCTCTTGCTTAGTCTGTGGAGCAGTTAGTGACATATGTGGTTACTTCTGTTTCACACACAGGGCCACGGAGGCTTAGAGAGATGCTGACTCGCCAGAGCTCACACTTAGAGATGGCAATCAGGATTATGCATGTTGTGCTTTTGCTGCCTCCCAAAGCACCTGAGGAATCTTGTGACAACCCCAGGATCTTCTTAGTCACAAGATCTTTGGAAATGTCTGTTGTTCAAACCAGACAAGAAAGGATGAGCGCAACTCTTGGAACATTTTTTGAAGATTGATTGGTTGATTGATTTGAAAGTCAGTTACAGAAAGAGAGGGAAAGATGAGAGAGAGAGATCTCTGCCTGTTCAGTCCCCAGATGGCTGCATCAGCCAAGGCTGGACCAGATGAGAGCCAGGAGCTTCCTCTGGGTCTGCCACATGACTGCAGGGACGCAAGGCCTTGAACCAGCTTCCATTGCTTTCCCAGGAGTACTAGCAGGGAGCTGGATTGGAGAGGGAGCAACCAGCACTCATGCTGATTCTTACACAAGATACTGGCAGCTCTACCCTTTGTGCCACAATGCTAGTCCTCTTGGAATTTGTTATTAAGAAACTTGCATCGAGATTTTTTTTTAAGTTTTATTTATTTACTTAAAAGGCAGAGTTACGTGTATAGAGAGATCTTCCATCCACTGGTTCATTCCCCAATTGTAAAAGCCAGGCTTGGAGCATAGTTGGGCAAAGTCAGAGCTAGGAGCTTCATCCAGCTCTCCCATATAGATACAGGAACGCAAGCACTTGGCCATCTTCTGCTGTTTTCTCAGGTGCATTAGCAGAAAGTTGGATCAGAAATGGGGCAGCCAAAAGTTGATCTGGTACTCATTTGGGATGATAGCGTCGCAAGTGTCAGCTAAATCCTTTGCACACCACATAGCTTTCTTTAAAAAAAGGAAAAAAGTAGGAAGTTCTATAAATACTGTTGCTAGCCATTTATTAGTCATCCAGACACATTTCCATGCTTAGAAGACAGCATATGTTTTCCCACCTTGGCCAAGTAATTTCAGTGTGGATCATTGATTCCTTATTAATTTCTAAGTCTATGTTTTCCATGATTCTTTCTGGCTTAGTTTCAACAGGAAGTGTCTAAAATAGCATAGAATGCTGTTTGTAAGAAATATTAACCAAGCCTGGTGCAGTAGCCTAGTGACTAAAGTCCTCGCCTTGCATACACCCGGAACCCATGTGGACACCGGTTTGTGTCCCAGCTGCCTCACTTCCCATCCAGCTCCTTGCTTGTAGCCTGGGAAAGCGGTTGAGGACGGCCCAAAGCCTTGGGACCCTGCACCCACATGGGAGACCCACAAGAGGCTCCTGGCTTTAGATCGGCTCAGCTCTGGCTACTTGGGGAGTGAAGGGAAGCCCTTTCTCCTTCTCTCTGTAAATCTGTCTTTCCAATGAAAATAAGCAAATATTTAAAAATATATATTAAACATAAACTTAATAGAAATTAGTTACTTATTTTGTTAGTCCTATAGATCCAGTGAGATCTGTGTACCTTTTAGCTTTGTCCCTTCCATGAATTCACTTACTTTTCCCAAATATCTTTGCCTCAAGTGTGTTTCCTGTGTGTTCATTGCTTTCCTTTTTTTTTTCTTATGTTTTCATTGCCTAGTTTATTTCTACAATTTTGGATGGAAAGATTACGGTGTAGCTTCTCTTACCACCATCTTAGACATGGTGAAGGTGATGACATTTGCCTTACAGGAAGGGAAAGTAGCCATCCACTGTCACGCTGGGCTTGGTCGAACAGGTAAATACTAGGAACTGGATTTACTAGTTTGTGGGTATATTTGAACATACAATGAATAAGGTTTCTTAATACTGAAGACCAGGGCTTTTTAGAATCCTTCAAAAGCTTGGAGTCAAATAGAAGGAGTAAATATATTTGAAGTATCTTAAACAGGTAGCTACAGTAACCATATGTTTGTGAAAGTATCTTTTGTTCATTTTACGACATCATTTAATAGGCACTGGGGTCTCCCCTCCCCCTCCATAAGTTCCCTTCCCTCCCCACCCTTCTCCCCTCCAGTCTTACAATGGATGTCTTTTGTTTTTCATGAATTTTCAAAAGTCCATCATGCTGTCACTGAGGTGTCTCCCAACAATGCAGGAGTGAGTCCATACTTGTACAGCATGCATGAGGACTTACTTCTCTGTTTCCAACTATGAACATAGCAATTTCCACTGCACTTCAGTTATGCACCCCCTTGAGTACAGTCTGCCATGGGGAGAGGAAAAACAAAGTAAAAGAAAAAAAATAGTGAAAGTATTTTTTAACAAGTTAGAACTGAAAACTATCATGGGTTTCTAAAACTAGCCAAATTACCTATTTTCTTATCTTATTGTTTAAAAAGGGGAGTCAGCCCCTCTATTTATTTATTTATTTATTTATTTATGAAAAATGCCCAAAAAGTTTTATCGGAAAGCCAGAAATGACATTCAGAGCTCTCTGTTTCAATCGTTGTTGTGTAATGACAGCATATGGGATTAAAAGAAAAACAACAAAAGATATATATCATTCAGATTTACTTCAAACTATTGGAAGAGTGAGTTCATTATCTAAACTGTGCAGAATGAGATTTTACGGAGTGCACAATTTCCTTTTCTCTGGATAAAACAGGGTGCTATGTAAAAGAATTTTAGCATAAGCCTTATGTCTAAGGGGGAAACAAAAATAAGCAAATAATAGAAGGACAGATTAAATTGAATTCATGCAGGGACATGGGTACGTGAAATAACCTGGTTATGTGGAAGTCGTAACGAAATTGATCAAGCAGTAAAGGTATGGTTCAGGAGCTGCACAGAGGCAGAGGATTGTGCAGTGTCCTCTATATCAGAGACTCTTTTAGGATGTCTCAGATAAGATCCGCCATGTTGAGAATGCGTGCATACTCCTAAGTGCAAGCACACGTACATAGAAACAGATTGAGTCATTGGAGAGCATCCCATGGCCGCATGAGCCCCAGCAAGCCCTGGAATAAACATACAGTTCCATTTCTATAAAGGTATACACATCCAGAGCTGGAATTTAAGCATTGTTAACATTCATGAGAACTGTTACAGCTTACTGAATATTCATATCTATCACAGGATTAGTCTCATACATGTGTATATTTATGTATAATATAACTAAATATAACTGTACTTTGTCTTTTATAACTTAACTGTTCCTTCAGATTTCTTAGTTCATCTCGTACTTGATTTTCTGTGGATGAGCCTTAAGTCTCCAGGGCCTCTGAAAAATACCAAAGATTGAGTTTGATAAAGAATATCACACATACACAGGCAGCAGTGTTTAAAAAAAATGCTTAGTACAAAGTGAGAGAAAAAAATCCAGATACAAAAGTAAAAATACTGTCTCACAAACTTTTACTTTCATACTTATTACATTAATTTGCATGCATGCAGAAAATTAAGTGATTTGTAATATATGGCAACTATGCTAATCTAACTTATATCCTGGTGATTAATTCTTTAAATCTCATAGCTGAAATTAACATTAAGCAAAATGCTGTTTGCTAATATTTTCATGGTGTTTTATTATTTATATGCTTAAAATGTCTTCAGCTTTATTATTTCAATTATCTAAACCCAGAAAATCTTGGATATTTTTGAAATAAATGTGGCATTTTGATTTCTCAAAATAAATTATAAACAAAGTTCCAGCTAGCTCAAATCCAGCTAAATGGGAATTTTTGTACTAATCGAGAGGTCATCCCTTCATAGAAGAAAGTCACAAAAAATGTCACATTAAAGTGATGTACACAGCACACACTTGGAATACCTAGGAATGTTAGTAACTGTGATATTTGATTAGGGTAGGCCAGCGTATTGCTGATTCCAGGGTAACACAGACACAAATCTAAACACCTGAGAGATGAGTAACTGAGACAGCACATTCTAGCAGAATCAAATATAGAATTGCAAACAGGAACATTTTAAATCTATACTCAGTGCCTCATTTTAATGCATTAGTATGTATATTTGAAGATTCATCTGTATTTATTTGAAAAGAACAGTTACAGGGAGGCAAAGAGATAGAGACCTTCTATCCATGGGTTCCAAATTCACTCCCCCAAGTGGCTGCAGCAGTAGGAACTGGTGAGACTGAAACTGAGAGCCAGGAACATCCTCTGGCTCTCCCACATGAGTGCAGAGGCACAAAACGTGGGCTATCCCCTGCTGCTCTGCCAGCTGCATGAGCAGGGAGCTGGACTGTAAGTGGAGCAGCCAGGATTTGAACCAGCATTTACAGGGGATGCCAATGTCACTGGTGGCAGCCTTACCTACTGTGGAACTATGCCAACCCTGCATTCATATATTTTAAATGACTTCTCTTAGCCAAAATAATAATGAAAATAGCAGCCATTATTACACATATTATGTTTGGAACACCTTACATTTTTAATCTTTTCAAATCTTCAGCAACTGAATGAGTAGAAGAAACTTAAATTTGCCAAATTTAGGAGGTGGCAACACCACGATTTAAACCCAACACTATCTAACTCCAAAGCTCAAATGCTTTTTTTTACTTTGGGAAGTGTCAGGATTTTGTTTCTGTGCCTAGAACTCTATGTAAAAATTGTTGGTTTTTACTTAAAAATTCAACAGATACTCATTACACTGCGGGTCTGGGGGCCTTAGGAATGAAATCCTCCTGTCCTGTAGGCCAGTCGGTCCAAGCACCTGCAGTTCAAGCCCGTCCTTGGTATACCTGGGCACCTGCCAAGGGGTTCTGTTTCTTGCCAGGGAGCACAGTGCTGCTCAGTATTGTGAGCTCTTAGGGTAGAGCTCGAATTTAAGTGCTTCTGGGCATTATCTGTACACAGCTCTGCAGGATGGAAGATCTGCCAGGACCTGGTAAGGAAGTACATTGTGCCAACCATGAACTGGTTGTCAGAATGTAGCAAGGTGTTCCACATCTTGCAGATCACACAGGGATCCTTTTTGATTTGCCTTTTAGTTAATTAGTAGTTGACTTTTACATTTGGATGAATTGATTTTATTTTCATTACTCATGTACTTTAATTAGGTGTTAACTCATAGGAATACATGATTACACTGTTAAGGCTGGCTTCCTTAATGTCACATGCTTAACCGCAAAGAGTTTTACATAACAGCATGGAGAAAAACACAGATTAGTATAGACACACATCTGGAAAAAGAATTATCAGGAAGAAGAGTAGGTTATGAGTGCTAACCTCAAGTGTGCCGGCCACTGATGGTGAAGTTGGCTGGGGTGGGAAGTTTCAAACATAAAGTGGATGCATAGATTGAGTAGAAATTGTCAAGAGCTGTTTAGACAGAGAAACGGTATTTGCTTTCTTCCCTATTGGAATTGGGCAGCAGGGTGGGTAGACAGATATTCGATCCCTCTGGCCATCCCTTCTCTCCTCCACAGTACTTTTCTGCTAGCTTATTTCTGTTGCAGTGGTAACTCAGCCATGGGAGTGAGTACCCCTTAAGGAAGTTCTATACAGGAAGCAAAGTATAGTCATAAATATCTGTACAAAAAGTTACAGTATTACCCATGTGTTATCGTTATAACTGTTCCTTTAGAGCTGCCTGTATTTATTTGGTTTCTTGACACATGTTCAAATTTTAAGTCATCCAAGACTGATTAATTAATAAAAATTCTTCTTCATCATTCAGGTGTTTTAATAGCATGTTATCTAGTTTTTGCAACAAGAATGACTGCCGATCAAGCAATCATATTTGTGCGAGCGAAGCGGCCCAATTCCATACAAACCCGGGGACAGTTGCTCTGTGTCCAAGAATTCACCCAGTTTCTGACCCCTCTCCGCAATATCTTCTCCTGCTGTGATCCGAAGGCACATGCCGTCACCCTAGCCCAGTATCTGATCCGCCAGCGTCATCTGCTTCATGGCTATGAGGCACGGCTTCTGAAACATGTACCAAAAATTATCCACCTAGTGTGCAAACTGTTGCTGGACCTGGCAGAGAACAGGCCAGTGGTGATGAAGGATGTGTTTGACGGACCCGGTCTGTCTGCTGATATTGAAAAGACAGTGTCGGAGATGGTTACGATGCAAGTGGATAAAGAATTGCTGAGGAACAGCAGCGCTGCGTCTGACCCATTTAGGCCCCCGGCAGGAGTAGCAGAGTTTGAGACTCAGGACACAGTTCTTTCCAATGAGCAGGAGTTTGGCCCACTCTGGAAGAGGCGGAATGTTGAGTGCCTTCAACCCCTGACATGTCTGAAAAGGCGACTCAGTTACAGTGACTCAGATTTAAAGAGGGCCGAGTCTCTCCTGGAACAAGGGGAGACCCCGTGGACGGGACCGGCCCAGGTCTTGCTCTGCCACAGCTTCAAGCAGCAAAAGGCCATTGGCCACTGTCCCGCAGCACAGTCTCCAGAGGTGGACATCAGTAAGGATGCATCCGTCCATGGTACATTTTCTTTCTGGAATCATTCCAAGTGTGGCGACATGCAAGAGCTCAGAGAGGACAGGCTGTCGCGTTGCCCCAGGAGGAGCCCTGCCAAGGAGGTGCAGCGGAGCAGAACCTTCTCTGTGGGTGTCTCAGGCTCACCTGGGCCTGGGGAGCAAGCCACACCCAGCTGTGCAGATGGCCAGAAGAATCCGAGCACTGCTCACCCACAGGTGGCCCACTGTCAGTGTGAATCTCATGGTGGCTGGGGCCTCAGCCCGGTCAAGGAGGGTAGGCCTTTCTGTAGCCCTCTAGACTGGAGCTCTGGGCCCCAGGTACAGTCCCCAGGTGGGCATGAAGCTCAGGAGAGCAAAGACCTTCCTGAAGCAGCATCAGAACTGAGTGTGGAAGCACGAAGAATACTGGCGGCAAAAGCCCTGGCTAATTTAAATGAGTTTGTAGAAAAGGAAGAAGTGAAAAGGAAGGTAGAGATGTGGCAGGTATCAGTATTTCATTTAACTGTGTATACGTGGGAGGTATTTATGTCAGCAACAATGGACTACATTTTCCAAACTCCTTTGCTGCGGAGTCTTGAGGATGTGTTTGCATGATGCCTGTCGTTTCTAACTTGAGTTTTCTCAGCTGTAGTGTGAACCTTTGCTATAGGAATGGCACATGGTGGTTTTGGGGATTCACTTAAGTGCCTGTGTACCAAAAGAGCACATGGCTTGACCCTTGACCCATTGGTGTTGGCAGCTTCTTCCTTTGTCGCCAGGTTTGTGGGGCAACCAGCTCCCAGCAGAGGACATCAGGGACTGACCTGAGAGTCATAAAATTTCATATTGCTCATGAGCATTAGTGTTGCAAAAGGTCAGGAGGAGAGAGATGCCATCTCCTCTTTCTCTCTCTCTCTCTCTCTCTTTTTCTCTCTCCCCCTCTCTCTCTGCTGCAGGCGTGCCCACCAGGCTCCAATAGCCTGATTCTTGGGATTCAGGAAAGCAAATGGGGGTGGTACACGCTCCCCTTGCACCTCAAGTTTTATGTCAGAGTAGGTGCTTGAGGCTTACCTTTTGATTTTGACATCAATCAGATTTAAACTTCAACCTTCTTTTGTTTTACATTTACTAGGAGGGCAGTCTTAAGTCAGCTACACTTGCCACCCTGGACGAGCACCGCGTCTGCAGAGCTGAGGAGCCTTATACACCTGGTTATTAAAAACGGGTGACTGGCCCAGCATCAAGCTGATGTGGAGTCCTGGCTCGAGAGTCTTGACTCGTCAGCTCATTATCTGGGAATTACTGTGACAGCTACTCCTCTGTACAGCACTGCTAGCCCAGTGTATAAACCGAGTGCTGATGTCTCTGCAGATAGAGATATTAGAAAACTAAGTGTGGAGTTTAATGCCAACTTACATGAGGGTAAACTTCTGGTACAGACTGTTCATCGGGATTATGCTATTCTGCTTCATGAAATCAAATATATTGGTTTCTTAAGAGATTTTTTTATTTCTTAGTAAACTGAAAACATCTTCCATTCCAATCAGCAGATATTTCCTGCGATTCAGGAGTTGGCAAGCAGGGCCAGTGTCATGGTACAGCAGGTGTGGGGTACCAAACTTCTCAGTTTTCTTATTTACAAACACAGTTAGTTATTTATAAAATTCTACATAGGACTCCAAAAGAGGCTTTTGATAGAAACATCACTAGCTTCCAAGCACTTTGTATTTGTGTGTGTGTGTGTATGTGTGTGTGTGTGTGTGTGTGTGTATGTGTGTGTGTGCATGCCAAAGTTTCAATCAAAAACTTTTCTTGTGATTCTGGATTAATTTATAAACATCCACTTATTATGTTCTTTTGTCAGTTGTTCTGCTTCATTGTCAGTATTTCTGTTTTATGCACCATAAGCCTGCAAAAGTAAGATTCCCTCTTTTAGGACTGGTAATCTGGTTTCTGAATGAAGTAGAGACCCTAGACTGACCGACTCCTTTCTCTGGGCTCAGCTTTAACTTCTTCCTCATTTGCCCCATCGCCTCAGGAGGCAGGTGGTGAGCTTTAATGGCGGCAAACTGGGCCAGAGAGAAGTTCTGTCTTAGCCCAGGTCCCAGCAGAAGGACCCAGATTGGGAGGAGCCCGAGGCCTCTGACTGTCGTGGGTAGTTTAAGGATTACCCGCCGTCGTCTGGGATAACTCTCTCTGTTCACCCTGTGCACCTCTTGCTTTTTAGAAAGAACTGAATTCCCGAGATGGAGCCTGGGAAAGAATATGTGGTGAGAGAGACCCTTTCATCCTGTGCAGCTTAATGTGGTCTTGGGTGGAGCAGCTGAAAGAGCCCGTGCTCACCAAGGAGGATGTGGACATGCTGGCCGAAAGCCAGGTGGAGGCCGCGGAAGCCCTCTTCTTGTTACAGAAGGTGAAGTGGCACAGCTCACCAAGGTCCTCAAAGTCAGTCTCATTCTAGAAAATCCCATTACAGGGGAGGGAGGAAAGGAAGGAGAAGGGGGACAGCCCTGTACCTACAGAACCGCACGATAGAAAATAAGAACAGAAAAAATAATAAAACTTAAGAGGAAAGCAGAAAAATAAAACAAAAGTCTTTTACAAAAGGGGGGAGTTCCTCGAATCCAACATCTAGGACTCACTCCATAGTTTCTCTAAGTGGAGAGAAGAAAATGATATCCAATGTAGACATTTAGACAATACAGAACTAAGAAGTGGAAAAACCCATAATCCTGGGCGTTTAAATATTTTTCATCTTTAATTTTATCAACATGTACATTCCATTGGTGAGAGTCATTTTAATGTGCCTCTTTATGTTTCGTAAGAACACGATGCGGCTATTTTTCCATGAAGAGCCTAGCTTTTCAGAAACGTTGACTGTAGGAGATGTGAGCTGCTCTTCCATGGACACATGCCAGAATTAGCCACTTTTCCTTCCTCTCTTGGGTCTTTGTTTCTACTCATTTACTCTGAACATATCTGTGGGAGAAGCTGTGAGGTCTGTTGGAGTGTACACGCATTTGTATTCTTAAAAAGGGGTGTGAGTCACATATACACACAAACATAGACGATCTGTATACAATAAGTACAGAACATGGAAGGAAAATAGGACTCTGGCAGTAGTGTTTGCCTTTAGGGAAGGATCCCAGGAGACAGTAGACCTAGATGGGGAGAGGAATTTCTCAGTGTAGATCTCTGCTGTTAGGAAGCAGTGTTGATTCTGAGCTATCTACTGTTGCAATATAAACATCTCTTCATTGCTTGCAGAGCTTCACAGAGTCTTCCGTTACCACACACACCCAACCTATACGTGCACACATGGGCATGCATCCATGCACATACAAAACTGTCCATTGCACACCTTTTAAGAAAAGGTTTCTCCTGCATCGAGAGTTCTTTTCATGCTTTATTTTCTCAGCAGTTACATTACAGAGCTAAAGCAAGAGCGGGTGATAAGGGAAGAGATTAGCCTCTGTTGTGATAAGGCTTGGAGAGGTAGAAGATGGTGGTGCAGGCCAAGGCAAAGTGAAGCAGCTCGTCCAAGCTAACACCACAGGTCATAGCCGATTCTGAATGGAGTGTTCTGGCACTCATGTCCTCTCTATCACATCGTGACCTCTATTGCGTCATAATTCACTCGACACTGTTACAGGCATCACTGTAATAATTACTTGGGCATAGCACATTATGCGCCCAGTGAGATTAGTGTTTCATCCTGGATGTCTATTGCTCAAAGTGATAGAATTTCTCTTTCGCTAACGTGGCCAGCTCTGGAGGTCGGGTCAGTTAACCTGTTCTGAAGCAGTCCTCGCCTAAGACCAAGTCAGAGGCTGCTTCGCTAAGCACAGCACACTGCTCCTATGAGCCAGCCGCCTCTTCCTCCCTCTGCAGTACTGACTGCTTGGTGCCCCAGTGCTTAGTGCACGTCACCAGGACGTGTTTGCGTTTACAGCCAAATTCAAGTGATCAGGCACAAATTCAGAAACAGGCACAACTGAAAAGTATGTTCAGTTTATTGTAAGCAAACTTTCGTTGTCATTTAAAGCAATCTACATTTCCAGTTGTACCTTGTGTGATACTGATACTATCTCCTTAAAGCCATTCAGATCATGTTAACACAGCAGCAAACACCTGGTAGGACTGTGGGCGGATGCTTTAGCATTTGAGATTACGAGTGCTGATCACAGGCCACTTTTCTAACTCTGTAGCTGTTTTGATATCTTGAGGCTATTCTTTAGACATCTTGTTAAAATTTTGATTTCTGCAAACATAGGGACAGCACCAGACCATCCTTTGCATCTTGCATTGCCTCGTGAACCTGAAGACGATTCCTGCGGAGGTGGAGGAAGCTTGCCTCGCCCATGCCATTAAAGCGTTTACTAAGGTGAGTCCCTTCCCCACCTGCTCCCACTGTCACAACACGAATCCTTAAGTCTGTGTAAATCAGAAACCAGAGGTCACCTTCTTCCTCCACAATGTAAAACTTGTAATTGTGCTTGCCCTTCATGGAAAAGCATTTGGCAGTTCTTGTAAGTACATAAGTTTTTGCCTATACCCTCCCTCTCCGCAAAGATTATGATCTTTAAACTTATGCTAGGAAAAGCTGAACTGTGATGTTTTTGTATTTGTTTTTGTGTTTTTTTTTAAAGGAGAACATGCAAACAACTTTTATATAGGAGAAGAGAGAAACAATTGGGTACTGAGAAATATTTCTAAATCACATTGAAAAGTATTTTTAAATCCTATGTCTGGTAGGAATTGGAGAATCTTTCCTTGTGGAGTTACGTTGTACTTAAATAAGAAGAAAACATCCCACATTGCTGCTTTGGTACTGTGTCCTGGTTGGAATCCTAAGCAAAGACCTACTTAGAAACAAGCAACGCTTCACTTTCTATGCACATTGTTTTGGCTTGCACAAGTTTTCCTGACAGTGAAAGAAGCCAAAAAAGTTTCCCTTTACCCTTGAGTTAATTCGCATGGTTTCTTTCATATAGGAGGACTACAAAAAGTTCGTAGAAAAGGGAGTGAAAGGATCGATTTATTTCAGTACCAAAAACATGGCTTTAAAATATATTAATTCTGACATAAACACCTTTTAAATATTTTCTCATTAATTCTTTAAAGTGCTCTCGTATATGCTGTGAAAATGACACTGAAGAGAGAAATCGGCTTTTGAATGACAAGCTATGTGTTGGTGTTGGTGACAACAGCAGTCCTGTGACTGCGTCTCCTGCCCTTTGCTGCTGATCTGCGTTTTAGGGCACTGAGTACTGGCTAGCCTTCCATTGTGCAGGTCACATTTCCAGACTCATTGGTCTCAAACTGAAACTTCAGAATCCATGTTGCTTGTGTTTGTAGACTGAGAGGCCACCTCCATGAAAGGAGGGCTCTTTTAAAAAAAAAAAGGAAGCAAGTCAAACCATTATTAATGTCAACAAGGAGCTTTTGCAGGTAGACAGTGTAGTGATTAAGTTAAAATAGAATTTCCTGAGGTTAAAAAAAATCTTGACATTGTCTCTGAAAGCAGCAGAAATTCTCTTCCACTTCTCTTGGTCTTTTAAAGGGACGCTAATAAAGAGGCTGATAGATCCCTTGTTCGAAATTTGTAAAAACGTGAAGAGGCTGCTCTTGATGTCAGGTCCATGCACAGGCTGGTGAGCATCAGGACTGCCAGCTCCCCCTAGCGGCAGAAGGTGCGCCTTTCTGCCTTTCCTTTGCAGTTTCTCTCCCGTTCAGTTTGGAAGGTTCCCTGGCAGTACTTCATAGAAGCAGTCACATTTCCTCCTCTTAGTCTCCCTGATTTTCAGCCTCCACCTGAGCCTCCTGACTTGTCTCATGGAACTTGGATGGGAGTGGGCGGGTTTGGAGGAACCTGATAAACACCAGGAATTCCAAACCTGCCCTACAAATGATACTTAAAGAAGTTCTCTTGACAGAGAAAAGGAATAGTGCCCTCCAAAACCGAAGGCAAATGCAAAGAACAGCCCAGTAAAATAACAACAGAAGACTAAATCAATGAGCCACCCACTGCTAAAATGACAGGACCAAATTGCCACCTATTTCTATTAACCCTGAATGTAAACAGCTTAAACTCATCAATTAAACATGATAGATTAGTAGACTGGATTAAAAAACAAAACCAACGTGTCACCTACAGGAGACACATTTCACCAACAAAGATCAGCAGAAACTATATCTCATGGATTTTAATTTTTTTGTTAGTTTCATCTCTTCAAAACACTTTCTTTGGATTAAATTCTTCAATGACTCATAAATCATAGAGTAGCATATGGGCGCTGATTCTAATTCCAGTGGCCCCGCTTCCCATCCAGCTCTCTGCTTGTGGCCTGGGAAAGCAGTTGAGGACGGCTGAATGCCTTGGAACCCTGTACCCACGTGGGGAACCCGCAGAAGGCTCCTGGCTCCTGGCTCCGGATCAGCACAGCTCTGGCCATTGTGGCTGCTTGGGGAGTGAATCAGCAGATGGAGGATTTTCTGACTTTCAAATAAAAACAAATAAATCTTTAAAAAAAAGAATAAAGTTGAATCTGACCCAGTAGCCTTTTGTCTTCTACCAGTATCCATAATAGTGGCAGGCTCACATGTTAGCTTGCAAGAAGGACAAAATTATTCTTGACTACTGCCAGCAACCTTTTCTTTATTGGTTTATCAGAGGAGAGGTTCCAGGAGGGTAGAAGCAGAGAACCCCAACCAGATCCTGGTTCTTTCCGGTGGGAACTTGCTCTGGTTCTCTGTCCTACCATCACAGGACACAGTGAGCTCGGGCATTCCCAGAGAGAGTCAGGAATCTCCACGTTACTGAGGTGTTCGTGTGTGCCAAGTATTACCTAGGCTCTGAGATACCAGTATGGATCTTAGGGAAGTTGGGATTATCATCTCTGTGTTCTGGAGGAGGAAGTTGGGGCCTAGAAAGGTTGAGTGTAAAAGGGGAGTCTGTGGCCGCAGGTGGAGAGCCAGGCTGTGTGCTCAAGGTTTGCTGGGCTGGCCTGACAGGGTCACTTGGTGTCATGCTCACAGCCACGTGCTCTGGTTCGTAAGGGACACATTCTCCCTTACACCATCCATGATTGGTCTCTGAATTAAAAGCCATGTCACACATTCACTGTTGACTTGCCTCTTGACTAGGTGTCTATGATTGTACTAAGAATCCAAGCACTAGATTTATTTTTTGTGTTTTCATGAATGAATTTGGTATTGACATAGTTGGAAGGTTTTTTTTTTTTTAAACTTATTTTTGTTGGAAAGTCAGATACACAGAGAGAAGGAGAGATAGCAAGAGGGTCTTCTGTCCGTCGATTCACTGCCCAACTGGCCACAACGTCCAAAGCTAGTCGATCCGAAGTCAGGAGCCCAGAGCATGTTCCAGGTCTCTCACGCGAGTGCAGGGTCCCAAGGCTTTGGGCCGTCCTCAACTGCTTTCCCAGGCCACAAGCAGGGAGCTGGATGGGAAGTTGGGCACTTGGGATTAGAACCGGTGTCCGTATGGGATCCCAGTGCCTGCAAGGGCAGAACTTTAGCCACTGGGCTACCATGCTGGGCCCAAGTTGGCAGTTTTAATATAGTCTTTCAGTTAAAATATTTGGAATTTATTGTGTGTATTTTTAACCAAATAATTTTAATTGTAAGCTTTACTTTTTGTTTGTTTGTTACCCCTCCCCACTTTCTTCCCAAATAGAGACTGGTTAACATTTTTGTTACAGCGTTCTAAAGATAAATTTTCTTTTTTCTTTAGGTTAATTTTGATTCTGAAAATGGACCAGTAGTTTACAACACTCTGAAAAAAATATTTAAGCACACATTGGAAGAAAGAAGAAAAATAACAAAAGACAGTGCAAAGGCTGGCTTCTATGGAAACTGAGTTTTCACTCATGCTGCGTATTTCGGAGCAGACCTGAGGGCTCAGATGACCTTTCTGTTGCACGAGAATGAGCGGAAGTGTGTGCAGCTGCTTTCTCTCGTAGCATTTGATTTTGAATGCTGTTGGTTTGTGCTGAGAATGCTCATCCCTGTTTAGAGGGATTATTTATTTAAAAATATCTTTGAGCTACATTTCTGTTTCGAAAATTTGCCACAAGTTGGTGCCACTTTGTTTTATTTATTTGACTGAATGAATATTATTAACATTTCAAGTACATAGTGTTTACATTTCTTTTTGACGTTTTTGGAAGAAGTTGTAATTCTTCTTTGCAAAATACTTACTGTCTTGCTAGAACTCTGCCTGGAGATTATACCAAATGGATGATTTTAGTAGCAACACCTCACTGAGTGTTCATCCCTCCCACCCCCAACGTAAGAATCCTGACCTAAGAAAATCACCAAGTGTCTTAAACTGTTTTATATTTGTTACTGAGAAGGCTATTGATATAACGTTTTTAAGGGGGTTTTTTTTAAGTGTTTGAAAATTTCTGATTTTTGCTTTTCTTTTTCTAACTGTGAACCAAGAGTTCCAAAGTTGCTGTTTACCAGATTGATTGGGTCGACCAGGAAGCGGTGGGGGTATTTTACTCATAGAAAGCAGAGCTGCTTTTCCGTGAGGCTTCCAGATGCCCCATCAGCCTTGGCTGCCGTCCCAAGAGCAGCTAACCAGCTAAAAGCAGACACACCAGGCTGTGCCACATCAGAGGCAGGCAGTGGGCAACATGGCTCCCAGGCGGACTTGTCTTTGTCCTCCCAGGAGCTTCACAGCCTCCCAGGAGCTTCACAGAAGGGATGCTTGTGCAAGATGGAGGTTCTGGGCCAGCACTTCATTCTGACACTGCAGTCTGCACTGGAGACTGGTGGGGCTAGAGGAATTCAGGGTCAGGCTGCTGTCTGCTGACGGGGTTTTAACCAAGAAGCCTGGTCTAGGCCCCATATTTCTAAATATATATACCCACACAGGCTAATCTCAGGGCTAGGTTGTTGGTTGCTTTCTGTTAGGAGAATATGATTTTTTTTAAGTGAATTGGACCCATTCCCATTGAATTCACACTGGTTTCCTTAAAGGCCAAACTTTAGATCAACAATTGAAGCCATACTTTTTCTTGAGTTAATATGTGGCAAGAACTGAGGCCAAGGCACAGAAAGAATCATTTTCCTAAGAAAGGGGATGTTAAGCGCAATGCTTGCAAATTAAAGAAGTTAGTACTTAAAAGATGGAATTTCAGGGGAAACAAGACTAATTTGGAACAAATGAAATTTCCCCAACTCCTACATCTCAAATTTAAACTCTGGCACATGAAAAATATTTTAGTCATTGTTGGTCTTGCTAACACTAATGACAAATGCTAAATACAGTTTCTTCCATACCATTTGCATTTTCTTAGGAAATCAAATCCAGTGAGTGTTAATGAACTGTCTTACCTGCTTCTGAACTATCTTATTTTCAAAGTGCCTAGCAAGAGGAAGGGGAGGAAGCAATTGTATTTTGTCCAGAAGTACATTATAAAAGCAGAATTGCAACTAAAAGAGATGCTTGCCCTCAGCTGAGTTAACCTGCCTTTATGTGAGCAGGCGACACCACTGCTCTTTGGAGAAGCCAAGCTGTTTTCCTGTGCATCTGAAACATTGTTTCCAATTATAAAACCATCTTGATATGACCACCTGTGCATGTCAAAAAATCTAAGAACACCAGCCCGAAAAGGGGATGTGACAAGAAAATTGGTCACGTTACATACAACCATTATAATTGTCTTAATAAAAGTGAAAAGCATAGCCCATAGCCCTGGTCTTGTGCCTCCTTACCTCGATGTTCTTGGTGTCGCTCACAAGCTGCAGACGCACACAAGATTGAGCTATAGAGTGTACTGAGGGACAGATTGAGTTGTAGGCTGAGTGGTCAGGGGGTCGAAGCCTGACTCCTGGGTCCTGACTCCTGACCCTATCTTCTGTTGCATCAGAATCACCAAAGAATCAGGAATGCAGAATGAAGAGAGAAGGGCTAGGAGGGGGCTTTGTAATATCTGAGGAAAAAAGACACCAAAGGATTGTGCACATCCTAGGAACACACTGAAGACCCCTTGGAAAAGAACAGTTGAAGAAAATCTCCAGGCCTGTAAGATTCTTGCTTTCCTATGTTAAGAGTGGGTAAATCATATGCATTAGGAGAAGTTATATTTGCAAAATTTGGCTCAGATGAAGTCAGGAAATCAAGCACTCACACATACTAAGTTCTTATCGGGGACCAGTTCATGAGCCATCTGTTTCCTCACGTAATTCTCCTGACCAGCCAAGATGTACTGTTCATATCAGCATGACAACAGATAGCACGTCTTACAGACCGCTGTGCACCCTCCCAGACGTAATTCTCCTGACCAGCCAAGATGTACTGTTCATATCAGCATGACAACAGATAGCACGTCTTACAGACCGCTGTGCACCCTCCCAGCTGCCCAGGGACTCGGCCGTGCCGTGTTGCCCGGCCTGGAGCATTCTTGGGAACTCTGGGTTTTGACTTCAGAGAATTTGCTAATACTCTTGGAGATAAATTGCTGCTGGGGGTGTAGAGCTTGCTTCATCTGTTTGCATAACTCAGAAGCTATGTTGATTTACTGAATCATAGCTTCAATCAGCTTTCCGGTTTTTTCTGAGAGTGCTTCGTCACTCTGGATTTCATAAGATAATGTAATTCAACCGAGATAACACTTCTCTATTTTCTCTCAACGGGGAAATGCTTGATGATAAGCTAAGATGTTATTTCAGACATTCTCTAGATGTCTGAAAATAGTAAGAATGTATGCTTTACATTCTTGATATAACGCTCCCAAATAACTTGGGGTATTGATTCAACATAAAAATCACTCATAAGATTTCCATTGTGGCTCCAAAGTCAATAAGCATTAATATCCTTTCAGTTCAAGTAAATTAAAAAAGGACGTTCCCTTTGATGATTTTTATTTTTTAGGAATGTGACCCAAAATAACACATTTGAAGTGCTAGGTGGTTGAGAGTCATTTACAGGTAAAGTGACAAAGGAAAAATTTCAACACAGTCCTGTTCCTCAGAAAAATTATGTTTTTTTTGTTTTGTTTTGCTTTGTTTTGTTTTTTTGGTTATGATTTTAAGCATGAGCTGATCTCCGAGTAGCACCACAATGACAATAAACTGTTTTGTAAGCAATCACAAAGGAGCCATTCAGCCGTGGAGCTCGAGGAGCCTGCGTTCTAAGCCATCCAGTCCCTGAAATGGATGTCTCAGTAAGTGTCATGGCGCCTTTCACAATGAAAACACAAGTTTTATATATCCAGTATAATTTATATCCCAAGAGAAGAGTGATAAGTCCTTGCCTTCTGGCTTTGTTGGTCAAGGTGAAGGGCATCTGTTTGGGGAAGTCAGTGTGTTTGTGGCATGCATTCCCACCACCCTGACCACTGGATTGCATTGGATTGCTTCTGCCTGTGCCCTCGAGTTCTTGACTTTAACGTTATCTTATTGCTCTTAAAAATCAGAACCTTAACTGAGCTTGCACTGTTGTACAGTAGGTTAATTCACTTCCTGCGACAGCAGTCTGAGTGCTACTCTGCTTGAGGCTGCTCTGCTTCTTAACCATCTTTCAGGTAATGAACCTGAGAAGGCAAAGTTAGTCCAAAAGCTTGGGCCTCTGCCTCCCACAGGTACCGGGATAGTTCCAGTCTCCCAGCGTTGACCCAGCCCAGATCTGGCTATTGCAGACTTATAGGGAGTGAGTCAGCAGATGAAAAATTCTCTGGAAGGGACTCTGGCTCCTGTCTTCTGGTTTAGGATTAGCTCAGTTCCTGCCATCATGCTCATGTGGAGAATAAATCAGCAGAAGGAAGATCCCACCCATTCCGGGGTCCCTGACATGGGGCACTGCTCAAGTGGTTTTGATAGCTCAACAATTCTGAATTGCTGCCAATCTCGCCCTTCCATGCACAATGAAATCTCTCCAGAATCTACTGGCTGACATAGTCCACCTTAGAATGAGTGCCAGTTCTGATCCCAGCAGCCCTGCTTCCCATCCAGCTCCCTGCTTGTGGTCTGGGAAAGCAGTCAAGGTCGGCCCAAAGCCTTGGGACTCTGCACTCATGTGGGAGACCTAGAGGGACTTCTGGCCCCTTGCTTTGGATTGGCTCAGCTCCAGCCATTGCAGCTGCTTAGGGAGTGAATCAACAAATGGAAGATCTTCCTCTGTGTCTTTCCTCCTCTCTATATCTGACATTCCAATAAAAATAAAATAAATGTTTAAAAATATATACTCTGCAAACTCACAGCACATTCCAATACAAGACGGCTTAATTGCTGAGGGTTTCCTTGCCACCCAACTTGTCTCACGTGTAAACATCAATTTTTGTTTTATGAATATAGTGATTTTCCCAGTGACCAGATTCAATGGTTCTGGCCTCCTGTTATTTTGACACTACTTTTGTACATAGAAGCTCTGAATAACCTCCGTTCATTTTTCTCTTTAAAACGTGACTTGGGTTTTTTCCCATTGCTCCTCTCCAATGGAAATCTTTAGAAAAGGCAAAAGATGTATTTGAAGAGAAACTCGTTGTTCCTGAACTTGAGTCATTCTGTACTTCGGGACTCCTTTTCTCTGTTGTGTGCTCACTCCCCAGATGGCTTACTAATAGACGCTTCTAGGTTGAAGTTAATTCCCAATGAGTACCTCAGTACCTGAGTACCAGTTCTCCAGCATCCAGGGGAAATAAACACGTGCCCAGTGTGCCTTGAATATAAATTGGGAATAGAAAGGTTAAAACAATGAAATTATGAAAAACTTTGAGTGCCTTAACCCTGGGGAGAATTATATTTTCAAAAGCATCAGGCACTGTAATAAGCATCCTCCACCAGGGGAGGCATTCGGTACAGTGTTCAAGCTGCCACTTGGACGCCCCGGCCATGTTGGAGTGCCTGGTGTAGGTCCTGAGATTTTCCACTTCCAGTTCAGCTTCCTGCTAAGGCATCTGGGAGACAGAAGTTGATGGCACAAGCATTCAATTTGTGGGAGACACAAATGGAGTTCTGGGCTTCCAGTTTTTTCCTGTGAGCAGCTGAGGGTTCATTAGCTAGGAGCTGGATTGGAAGTGGAGCCACTGGGATAAAACAATTTCTCATGTGAGGTGCCATTGGGACAGGCAGCAGCTTAATCCTCTGTGCTATAACGCCAGCTCCATGACTTGCTGTTTTTGTTTGACTGTTACGTGACTATCCGTATTGATGCATGGAGCATTGGTTCATCTGTGTTCACTGTTCAGCATTCCATTGTATGCATGTGTATTCCACAGTACATCACTTTTATTTGTAATGGACAGTTGAGCTGTTCATATTTGCATATGCCCACAGGTGCTCACACACACGAGTTCCTCCAGCTGAGATGAATTTGTGGGCTTTCTGGTGTGAAACTGCTCAATTTCCTGTGGGATGACAACGTATTTCTCAAAATGATTATACTGGTTTTCTCTCCCAGTGGCAGAAAAGGGGAGTTTCCATTACTCTACACCTTAACCCACACTTACTTATTGCCTCATTTCTTGATCTTTGCAAGATTCATTGAGTATAAGATAGTATCTCAAGGCATTATCTTCTTTAAAGTTTTACATTATTTATTATTTTCCTTATTCATTTATGCCTAAAAATTCATTCTGATGAAATACATATAACAAAATTTGCTATCTTAATTGTTCAAGTGTGCATTCGGTGGTATCGGATACATTCTTAATGTTCTGTGGCTGTCACCACCATCACTTTACATAATTTATCTGCTTGAAAGAGTGAAACTTGAGATTCCTGTTAAACGTTAGTTCCCCTGGGCCTGGTACTGTAGCGTAGCAATTAAGGTCCTTGCCTTGAATGTGCTGGGATCCCATATGGGCGTCGGTTCTAATACTGGCAGCTCCACTTCCCATCCAGCTCCCTGCTTGTGGCCTGGGAAAGCAGTTGCAGATGGCCCAGAGCTTTGGGACCCTGCACCCATGTGGGAGACCCAGAAGGAAGTTCCTGGATCCTGGCTTTGGATTGGCACAGCACTGGCCGTTGCAGTCACTTGGGGGGAGAATCATTGGACGGAAGATCTTCCTTTGTGTCTCTCCTCCTCTCTGTACATCTGCCTTTCCAATAAAAAATAAATCTTAAAAAAAAAGTTAGCTCCCCATCTGCCCTATACCTTTGCACCTGGCAACCACGATTCTACTTCAGAGAGATGCAATCACAACATTTATGTTTTTGTGACAGAATTATTACCACCATTATTTTGCTTGAAAGGCAGAGTTACAAAGAGAGAGAGAAACAAAGATTTATTTTATTTTATTTTTTATGATGTTTACATAGTTGATGAGGGTGGGAAGGGTTGAAGATTAGGGAAAAATGGGTGTGATCATTGTTTTCTTTCTGCTTCTGGGGCAAGGGGAGAAATAAGCGGAGAAGCCATACCCAGCCTCCC